CCTCAGGGTGGCCTCGGCCCCCTGAACCCATGCCTGCCTGCCCCCCACCCCCTCCCACAAGAGCACAGAGCAGAGGTTAAGGCTTCGCTGGGCGCGTTTCCCGGCAGCAGGCAGGGGCGGCAGCAGCCGGGCGGGAGCACATTGGACGTGGCACAGCAGCTCAGCACAGACACGGGGACACACGCCCACCAGCTGGGGCAAGACGGGACACACGGAGTGAGGACCCCTGTCACAGCTGGCTATCTGTCTGTCCGTCTGTCTGTCCACTTAGCAGAACCCAGAGCCGTCCTGGAGCCGGCAGTCTGAGGACTGGGGCTGGATGCCTTGCACACCATCAGGCTTTCCAAGGGCCAGGTCTCCGGCAGGGTCCGCAAAAGGCAACGTGTAAGAACAGCCTAGGCATGTGGGGCCCACAGCCCAGCAGCCCACAGGCCACCACAGGACAGTGGTGGGGCCCCAGGCTCCCCATCTGTCTCTGACCCATCTGTAAGGGGAGTGGGTGAGGCCTCAAGACTGTAGGGAACTGGCCTGGTGACCACTTCAGGGGGTGTGGGTGATGGCTTTGGAGCCAAGCCTGGTGGGGAGAAGGTCGCAGGCCAAGGCAGGGCCCACAGACCCACAGGCCACAGCTACAGGGGACCTGCAACCCCAGCCATGCCTGGGGTCTGGTCTCCCCAGGTGAGCAGCTGGGTGGGTGGATGGGAGGGGGACCAAGGACAAGCCGACGGAGGCGCTCTCTCTCCTACTGACGTGTCCACACCAGGCGTGGGCCTCATCCTCATCCCTGGGGCAGAGAAGTCGGGGATGGGCCACCGCTGGGGGGTCCCGGTCCCTGTGGCGCCGTGGCAGGCAGGTGGCGGTCAGTCCTCACACCGAGATCTCGTACGTGGTCCCACCCACGCCGGACACCTTCTTAACGAGTGTGTGCCGGGCGGGGCTGGCAGAGGGCCCTGGAGGGCCGGCAGCAGGCCCCAGGCGGGCCAGGCCTGGGGACTGCCCATTAAGCTTACTTGGGGGGGTCTTCAGCTGAGGGTGGTCCCTGCATCAAAACAAGCACACACACACACACACACGCACACAGTGAACATGGGACCACGGCAGGGACAGGCAGACAGAGGCGACAGGAAGCCAGACTGACGCAGACACAGACCACGCTCTGTGTGACCCTGGGCAGTCCCTGCCCTGAGCTTTATGGGCCTCAGTGCCTGCAGGGGGGGTGGGGAGCTGTGCTGTCACAGGACAGACAGACTTGAGTTCAGTGCAGCACCTACAGAGAGGAAGTCTGGCAAGACCAGCCAGGGTGTCATCAGAACATTTTGACCCTCCTGGACTCCAGTCCCTTCCAGCAGCCTGGCGACCCTTGCTGCACGGCCACACAGAGCATGGGCAGGCCTGTGCCCTTCCTGTCCTGGTGCTCTTAGGAAAGCAAGAGGCTGCCCTCTGGCCCTCCACCTCACCCAGCGCCGACCACCAGTGTTCTGCCATGGGCTCCCGAGAGCCGCTGCTGCCCCCTCTCACCAGACTTTCAGGCTGCCCGCCTGTCAAACCCCCCACAGCAACCACCTCTCACAGCGTGGGCCGGGGAGGCCACGCTCAGGCCAGGCTGCCCACAGCTGCTTGCTCAGCCCCTTGTGGCCACGTGGCCTCGGGAGGGGTCTCCTGGGGGCCTCAGTCTCCACCTCAGCCTAGGCGCAGCACTACCAGGCTGCGGAGCAGCCGGGACACACCCACCACGGTGCCTGGCACAGCTCTGACAACGGAGGGAGCTGGCCGGCATACCTGCTAGGGACTCTGGGACGTGCCTGTCCTCTCTCTCAGCCTTGGTTTCCCAGGGCTGCATTCTCCACCACGGGCCTGGGCCCTAGCACCCAGGATGGCATGCTTGGCTGCTAGGTGGTGATGCCCTAGCACCCAGCCTCCTGGACACACAGCACGGGAGTCCCCGGAGAGCCTGAGCAGGACATGTCACAGGACATGTGCAGGGACAGCTTGACACCGGGAAGTCGGAGGCCACTGCCACGGGAGGGTCACGGCCCCCCTCTACAGGAAGATGCCCAGGGCCCTGCCCTGCACGGTCCAGGGCACGTCAGCTCCAGAGGACATGCCTGGGGTGTCTCTGAAGTGGGGCCCCCCTCTCCCCTCTGACTCACAGAGGCTGACCAGGAGACTTTGAGGTGGGGTGAGGCCTTCCTGTTCACCCTGTCCTCAGAGGCAGCAGTGGGCCTCCCCAGACCACCCCTGAGGGCTTGGCCACAGAGCGCCACAGGGGGCTGGGCTCTGGCCCTGTGCCAAGAGACATCCCCCCGCACACCCACCTCTGCACAGCCAGTGAGGGCGGCGTCTCTGGGAGATCCGTGTGGATGAAGGAGACGGCCTTGGGGCCTGGGTAGGAGGGTGAGCGTGGGGTGCTGGGTGGTGAAGGCGGTCCGTGGCGTGCCGGTGACCTGTGTGAGCCGCTGCCCGGCCGGGGCCCTGGGACCTGACTATTAGCCAGGTCGGCCTGCAAGGAGGAGGAGGACGTCCTCGGCGCGCGGCTCACCGCACTTGACAGTGAGGACAGCGAGGCCTGCAGGGCAGGGTTGCGGGCACCCCCGAAGCCAGGCCCCGACACGAGGTCATCCCTGGAGCCGTAGAGCGTCGGGGGGCCGCGGGAGCCCTCGGACAGCATGCTGGCCTGCTGCAGGCTGTAGGAGCTGGGGGTGTCGTAGACCCCCGAGTCACCAAAGAGCGAGTCGGCCTGGGAGCGCAGCAGCCGCTCGCGCTCCTCCCGGTCCTTGCGCTCCTGGATGGAGGCCATGATGGCTCTGGACAGGTTGTCGTAGCGCACGGGCGAGGGCTCGCGCGGCCGGGGGCCCAGCACGGGGCTGAAGCTGCGGGGCGGGGGCCGAGGCGGCTCGCCAGCCGTGCCCGGGTGCAGGTAGGGCGAGCGGTAGGCAGCCGCGCTGGCCGAGGGGGGGGCTGGGCAGGTGTGGCCCCCGGGTGAGCCGGGGTTGAGCAGGCTGTCATAGGACAAGCTGCCACTGCGGTTGGGCAGCGCGTGAGGAGCAAAGAGGCCTCGGCGGGGTGTGGGGGGCCCGCCCTCAGCACGCAGGGGCTGCAGGGGCTGCAGGGCCACATGGTCCCCACCCCGCCGGCCTGCAGCCTTGAGGCTCAGGGTGCGCAAGGCACCTGAGAAGGCATCGGCGGCGCTGAGCGGGGGCGACGGGGGATAGGCTGTGTGCAGGCCGCTAGGCGTGTAGTCAGGGAGGTCCAGGCTGGGCTCGGACACAAAGTCCAGGCTATGGATGCTGTCATCCCCTAGGGTCAGGGAGTCCGGGCCTGGGACCTGCAAGGAGAGGAGCACACATCCACCCACTGCCTGCCTGCCACCTGCCTGGCCAGGCCGTGGCATCGCCCACATCCAGTGCCACCAGGCCCTCTCTGCCCACGTGGTGGCTATAACTTCAGGGACATTAAATGTGGTGGCAGGTGCATGGCCTGGCTGCTTCCAGACCCCCTTTATCCTGTCCCTCCCCCCTCTCCAGCCCCAGGGAGTCGGGACAGGGCCAAGGACAGCAGGGGAAGCTGTACCACGGCCGTGGAGGCAGGGAGCTGCAGGGCCCCGTGGGCTCGTGCCCTGCAGTGGCCATGCCTAGGATGGCCCAACAGTTCTGGGAGTGGGCTTCGAGGAGACATAAGAACCCCAGGCCAGAGCCGACACCTTTTGGCCAGGGGCCCTCCAAGGACTGAGGTCCAGGTCTGCTGCAACCTCATAGGGCAGGTTGCTGCAGCATGAGGACAGGGGTTGACCCTGAGTCCTCTGTGGGAGTCAAGACAATCCGAGGAAGGTGACGACCAAAGAGAGAGACAGAGGGATGAGAAAGACAGAGAGAGGGCACGTAAAGCCACACCCCCTACCATTCCCAGAGGGCTGGCCTTCCTGCAGGGCAGGGCTGCTGAGAGCTTACCAGGCTCAGCAGGGCAGGGGGAGCCCCGCTCCCAGCCAGAGGAGGGAGCGTGCAGACCTGGGACAGGCGGCGTCTGGCTGGTCTCTGTGGGGGGGGTTTTGGGAGGGGGACACAACTGACCCCCAGGCGAAGTACAGGGCTCAAGACTCCAGGAGAAAGAAACACTCTTTCTCAAACAAATCTCAGATTCTTTGGAAGTCTTCCCATGGGCGTCATGGAGTCACTAAGGGTGGAATTCCAGGCATCCTGGCACGTTGGGGATGGAGGCAGCCTCCTACTGGGCCCCCAGGCGATGCTAAAGGACAGCAGGCACCAGCCCTCTGGCGCCCGGCCTGCCCTCCTCTGCCTGCCCCTGCCCCACTGGGTGGGGTCCTGCAGGCAACCACGGCACCTTCCCTGGCCAGGCCAGGGCCTCGGCAGAGTGGGGCGCCCTCACCTGCTCTCCCTGACTGCAAAAGGGCGCCTTGGGCCCTGTGGAGAAGGTGGGCCGGAACTTGTACATAGCGGGTGTCGGGGGACTGGTCCTCTGCACGGACAGGGCACTCTCTGCACAGACGGGACAGTGGTCAGGCCTGGCCTGGACGGGTCGCCATTCCACACCCCCCATGCCCATCAGGCCACCCCCACCTCACCGGCACTGCCCCGGCGCGGGGTCTGCAGGTCACTGCTAAAGGTCCCTGCCTCCACCTTTGGGGGCAGGGGTGGCCCCAGGTCCATCGGCTTCTCGTCCAGTTGGTCCAGGCTACCCTTAGACTGGGAGGGGTGGGGTCAGTGGTGGGCAGGGTACGGATGAGGGGTGGGCTCACCGGGGGGCTCCTTCCCAGGACCCACCAACCCACCAACCCTTCCACCTCCTCTGCTTTACTGTCACTGAGTGGATTCCGACTCCCACCGACCCTACGTGCGCCGAGCAGAACTGTGCTCCCCACAGGGTGTTCAGGGCTGTGGCTTAGAACCGCCAACCTTCTGACCAGCAGTCAAGTGCTTAACCCCTTACACCACCCAGGGCCTCTGCCCGCCTCCTCCAGGCCTCTCCAATCGTTCCGCTCCTCCCTCCACGCCTCTGACTGCCACGCCAGTCCCCACCCGACTCTGGGCCCCCACCTTGCTGCGCCCCAGGCCGGCCTTCAGCCCATTGTCACTAAGCTTGACCTTGAGGGGTGCACCACGCTCCAGGAGCTCGGGCCGGAGGAAGGGCGGCTTCAGGCTCACGGTGAGTGGCAGCCGGGGCGAGTCTACCACGTACCTGCCCAGGGCAGACGCAGGTCAGCATTCTGCACACACCAAGGGCAGCACAAACCGGCTCAAGGGCCCCGGCCGCCCGGCCCACACCCAGCAGAGGCCTCCTGCCATCGTGCCCGCTGGGCCTCACCGGGGTGCCAGGGGGCTGCACAGCACATGCTCCACGTTCCCATAGCAGCCGCGAGTGAAGGGGTTCACGCCCCCGCGGAACTTCCCCGTCACCTGCAGACACGGAACCCCTCAGCCAAGCTGGCCACTGAGGGGCTAGGCCAGGGCGGAGAGGGGGAAAGGCAGGGAGGCAGGTGGGCAGGGTCGGCCCAGGGGTGCCTCCAGCTCAGGACACCCTGGCATGTCCCTGCAAGGAGCTGTGGAACTTCTGGGCCCTGAATCTCTGGTGCCTGTGGGGTCCACAGTGAGGGTGCTACCGGGGGACAGGCAGGCATGGCCTCACCCAAGGGTCTCCACCCCCCATCACAGCTGCACAGGCCGGCTGGCCAAGGACGGTCCCCATACCGCCTCCCCCGCCATCTTGGCTATTTGGGGGTATTGCCCCACCCCCACCACAGCCTCAACTGGGGTCTGCACCTGTTCGTTGGTGGTGCGCCCCCGCGTGACCAGCACCACATGGAAGCCGGTGAGGCCGATGACGGGGATGAAGAAGAGGCCAGCCACACACATGACCGCCATTCTGGCCCGTTAAGGCCAATGGCATAGGGAGGACGTGGCAGGCCCCACTGAGGGCAGGATGGAGCAGGTGCCTGCAGAGAAACACCTTGCCCACCCATCTACCCACCTAGAACTGGAGACCCACCCACTCGGGACCCAGGGGCAGCCTATCCAACCCCTCTGAGCCTCGGCTTCCCCTTTGGACAGGTCCCCCAGCTCACTGCCGGCTTTGTGGCTGAGAGCACGGGGGCAAGGATACGTAATGGTGGTGTGGGCGGCTCCCAGCCCCTCAGCGTGGTTCAGCACGTAGACCAGGCCAAAGGCCACGACACCCACCATGTGTGCGCTGAGCGACAGCAGGAACAGGAAGAAGTAGCGGTAGTTGCGGCGCCCGATGCAGTTGTTGACCCAGGGGCAGTGGTGGTCAAAGTCCTGGTTGGGAGCAGTGCGTCAGGGGAACTGTGGCAGGCGGCTCAGCCGTGGGGGGTGGGGCAGCGGGTAGGAGACAGACTCAGGACAGGGCTGGGGGCTGGGCTGGGCAGGCGGCAGATGGTCACCTCCACGCAGTTGTCGCAGACGCTGCAGTGGGAGCAGCGGGGCGGGCGGTAGAAGTGGCACGTGGCGCACCACTTCATGCGGACCTGGATGCCTCTCACGTCCACGTTCTTGTACAGTGGAGCCCGGAAGTCGTCTTCCTTGTCCTCGTCCTCGTCCGCTGCAGGTCAGGGGGCCGGGGGGGGGGCAGGAAGGTGACTTCCCTGGTAGGGGAGCTCCTCCCCGGTCTCTGCCAGGCCACCCCCGGGCCCCGGGAGGGTCTCCCATGTCAGACACTCGCAGCCCAGCCAAAGGGAGTGGATGAGCTGCCCTGACACAGGGCCTACCTCGTGGGAAGACACCAGGGTCCATGAAGGTGGCCATGCTGAAGTTGGCCAGGACAAACAGGAAGATGATGCCATTGTAGACAGGAACCGCAGGGGACACAGCTCGTGTGAGCCACGGGCACCTGCAGTTGACAGCAAGCCACAGAGCCAGGCTGGGATGGGGAGGCAGGAGGGGGTGGGGCAGTAGATGATTGGGCGTGACCACGTGTCTGCAGGCTGGGCCTGTGAGACCACTGCCAGGTCCACGTGGCTGTCAAAGGAGGCTGGCACTACCATGGTCCCAGAGACCTCTGCCTAGTGGTCTGCCACAAATTGGCTCAGCCACAGAAGGCAGTGTTTGACCCCGTGAGCCAGTCCTGATCCCAGCAGCTGCTCCGTGAGGGTGGCTGTTAATAACTCAGTATACAGTTGAGGTGAGTGAGGCTTGGAAAGGCCAACAGGCGTGAGTCACACTATTCAGGAGGGCTGCCCCACAGCCAAGCCTCAGCCCTCACCCCTCCACTGGAGGCGGGGCGGGCACGGACCCAGGGCAGGACGCTCTTGCTCCCTGAGGTGCTCTGGCCCGTGCTAGGACATCTTGGGGTGTGAGGGGCCCCAAGGACCCCCAGTCATTTTTCAGCAAATAAGTGGGGGCGTCACCCTTGGTCTACCTTGAAGGGCGGGTCTCAGGGTCTCAGCTACCACACACGTCCCGCCAGCCCCCTTGCTTTCAGCTATTTTTCACCTTATTTTCCAGAGGCCTGGTGACTCGAGAGAAACGTAACAGCCCCTAAGCTCTACACATCCTCCCATCACCTGGCTCCAACGTGCCCTCTCTTCCAGGAAGCCTTCCCTGGGCCCCCGTGCAGCCTCCTATGCAGGTCTGGCACGGCGCCTTCCTGAGCCTCTGGCCGCTGAGCTCCCGAGGAA